ACACACACACAAACACACACACACAGATGCACACACGCACTCGTGCACAAGCACACACACAAAAACCCAAAGAAAATGCAACTGGAAGAACTGAAGATCAGAAGTGCTACATCCCAAATAAAGATTCAGAGACTGGAACTCTGTTAGGGCAGAACAGAGAAGGTTCACTCTGTCCCTGGTCTGTGAACTCCCAAGAACCTTTCTTATTAAATTCTTACCACATTCAGAGAAAGGTCTTGGGAGTCCAAGATCCATAGGTACAGAGAAGGGGCCACTCTGTACAACAAAAGAAGTCACCGTGTGGTGATTTTACCTTCAGTCGGTCTTGACTTGGAATATCCATACTGTGATCCTGTGCGAGAGCGAGAGTCTGAGCAGCATCTGGATAGCAGGTAAAACAAAAGGAAAACCTTCCCTGGTAATAACCATTCTTTCCACACAAAAAGGACCTCAGCAAACAAACCCTGAAGCAGGTTTGGTCCCTAGTGATATACCTCTCCGTGCCGGCTAGGCAAGGCTCTCATTTGCAAAAAGGGGGAAAACCAAAACTGATAAAAATGACAAGGACCAGGACAGGCCATATTCAAAATATATTACCAAAATAAAATCTGGAGAAAAGTGAAAAATGACTAAAAATGTTCTTCCATAGCAAGCTTTCAAATTTTTATATGAAAAGTGGTTCATTCCACACATGGAATAATGAAGAATATTTTTAACATCTCTTGCTGTATTAACAAATTTGCCTAACTTATAAACAGCAAAAAATATATGGCTTTTTAATTTTTTATTTTCAAGTGTTAAAGTTATTCAGGGTTATGAGATCTGAAAATCTGGAATTTTCCCCACTTGCTTCATAAAATAATAGCATCTTCATAGAAACCTACATTCTAAGTGTCAATGATGATTTCATGGTTTAAATTCCCATCACCTGAATACAGATTAGATTTATTTCATCAAGTCTTATTCTTCCCAGTTACTATAAACATTTCCTAAGAAGGAAGAGAGAGCAGATAAAGTTTTTCTCAAGGCCAATAAAAAGAAGCAGAGAAAACAATAACCTAGCAGAGAAAAATTCTTAGATACCACATTAGTCTAAGAGAAATGTATTCCAAGGAATTAGAAAATTTTCAAGCAGAACAGAAGATTAAAAACTTGGCTACAGGAAATGAACAAACTGCAGAGAATTTAATAACCTCGGCCATTTAACTAAGATGCACCCAAATAAGTCTATTGTGGATCAGATTCATCAGCTACTACCAGCTCCAGTGACAAAATATTTATGGAAAACATCATTCTCTTCTAATAAAGACTGCCAGAGAAAGAACACAGATCCTACAACTGCTCTGACAATTCAGTTGTTTTGCACAAAGCATTTTCGAAACTGTAATTATAAAGAACATTATTTCTAGAAGCATTTTCATAGATAAATGGAGATACTGAAAAGTTCAAGAGACAGCATTTTCTGACAGAGATCTTCAGAGCAAAGTTCAATTAACATATAATGCAGGTAAAGCAGTCTTTTAATAAAGCAATTCTATTACTGTCATTTATATTTCTAGAGCCTTACAACAATTAAAAGCAAAAAGAAATTATCTGGGAAAACCATAACGTAAAAAGGGATTTTAAAATAAATACAGAGTTTGTCATATCTATTTCATTTAATTAGTACACATGGGGAAATCTGGAGAAATGATTTAGAAAAAAACCACCTCCGTTTTAAATAACGACATCTTCTTCAATCATCAAAATAAAAGGTTTAACCAATTTGCAAAGATGTAAAACAAGTTATAGGAAAAGCACTTTTCTCATTTGCCTTTCAAATAAAACACATGCAACCCAACTTATAAACATCAACAAAGATGGCCAACCACAAGCATCAATTCAAGTGCAAGTCAGAACAGATAGTCAATCAGTATTACTTCGAGCAATCTACTGACTTTTTGATCGTTGTACTATGGTTATCTAAGATGTTACCATTTGGGGAGTCTGTATAAAGAATACATGGGGGGGGAGAATATATAGGAACTCTATAGGAGGGTACTTCAAAAAGTTCGTGGAAAAGTAGAATTAACAGATAAAACAAATCTTTCCA